ACGATAGGACGATGTTATCTCAGCTTTATAAACTGTTATAATTCCCTTGATGCTGTGATTTAAATGGTTTCCTTAACTTGGGCATTTTCATTGCATGATAAAGGGAATATCGTAAAGAAGTGTATGTTTCTGTATGGATAAATAAATGTTTGACACTAAAAGTATACTTGTCATTGTATGGCTATTCTAAGTGTGTTAAGATGTGGTTGTGTGTCTACGAACGATTAATTGCGTTGATTTTGTTTAGCAATTTTTTCTTCTTCTGTATAGATGATTAGATTTATTTTTGAAATAAAATAGTTACTAAAAATAATAGTTAATACCAAAACGTCTGCACATAAGTTACATGATAGAAACTCTAAATTTTCTTTAGCTTATAAATAAAGCGCATATGACATTAGAGTATTGGAGTTTTGGCTTAATCCGCGACATCGCTTTATATACAGGGTGTATGTAAACTTTTTTAAGAAAGTTATGAACTCAATCATTATCAATTACTATATAGGAACAAACAAAACAGTAAAAAAGAGTAAAACCTAATAAACGCTAATTTAAGTATCAATGTACTAATACTTCTAACATGAGTTTATTTCTTAAAGTGATCAATCGATAAATAAATTAGGAATGAAATATCGTGATAGCTGTTCATAAATTAACTATTATGTAAAATTATCGTTAACTAGTTAGATGAGCTATAAATTTGTTGGTTAAACAATTAAGGTCCAATATTTTGTTAGGGAACTTGTTCAATCAATTCAATCAATTCAATCAATTTGTAATGAGATGCTTCTATTCGCAACCAAACTTAGTCCCTCTAAGTTATTGTTAACAAACATTTTTTGAAACGTTTTTTTTCTAGCAGCAACACCCATGTTCATGTTTATGCACCCAATATATAACATAATTATATTCTAGGTAGCTGAACTTTCTAGCTGAACCCCAGACCCACCACCCATTGTCTTCTGATGATACAGTTTACCTACCTCCTAGGTTCCCTCGAGTAGACCTTCCCTCCCCGCCCCTACTGATTATAACCTTGGCTCTGTTATTTTTGGCAATAAATCTACTGGTATTCCTCCTCTAAACGTCGGTGATCTTCAAACCGCAAGTATTTAGGTTCGAACAGGTAGAAAATAGTTTGAAATTTGATTTTCAACCGTTGAATCATCCTCTTACTGTCCGTGTCAATGGCATTTTTCAAGTATCACCACGGTTCAAAGGAAAGTTGTTTTAACCCCTTTACTGGTGGGTTGTATGTATGAAACGCTAACTACTACGTTAAGATAATGATTTTTTATTATTTTTTCTGATTAACTTTTATCCTGAAAGCATTCTTTTGTTAATGATCTACCGATTTTCCTTCGAGAAATTAAATAACAGTCCTAACCTGACGTAACCAGACTTGCGTTTAGAGAAAGGGGAACAGCTAAAGGACTTGAACATAGAATTCTACAGTAATACACCCATTAAAGAAATTATCTTACAAATAGATTTTGATTCTGAATTTATCAAAAACATGTAATTCTTTGTTTTTCTAACGTTTTTGATCCTTTAACTGTGTGTTAGAAGTAAGAAACACAAGTATTACAAACATTAGTTTATCTTATTCCTCTTATGTGCAAACAGAACCCTGATTCTAGAAAACCAATATCGCTAGTCAAAGATATGGCGTTGTTTTTGTCCCAGCATAGGATCTTTGGCGTAGAGTCAACCTTTGAAATATAACACGGAGAAATAATGCCCTGGTGTAGAAAACAAAGACAGCTTAATATTTATCAAAGGATGTGCGAAAACCTGTGACATTTCAGTGACTTGGTACTAACATGTAACATGTAAAAAAATATACAGAGTGAGTTTATACATACTTTTTACTCCCTAATAGATGGAATATTATAATTTTGGTTCAACTAAATACGAACTCAACACTAAGGTTTGTGGGTTTGTGTATTAGATATATATTGTGCAATTTGGTGCATACGATGTACATGGTTATTTTTACAAAGTTATAACACGCAATTTTACTCGTATATTATTTTGTATTGAAGGACTAGGCCAATTTTGTAACTATTTACATTTGAAACATAGGGTTTAGGTAATGTTGTAAATACAACGATTTGTATATTTATTTCGAGATGGAAGATAAACTAACTGCTGCCATTTCCATTTCTCAGCACAAACAATGCATTGCCAGTGTAAACATATATTGGCCAATTTCAGCGGTTAGGCATTAAGCCAATACACTAACATGAAGACCATTAGTGTTTAAGTTTTGCAATCGAAAATGGAACTCTGGAACCTGCTATTTAATTTGTAACACGGGTTTAAAATTTCACCAAACCGAACAATGCAATATATATGTGTATGGTAGTAAAAAATAATGCAAACTGATTTCTAAATTAATTATACTCTCGCGTTATAGTTTCATAGTAACTATAGCAAAATTCCTACAAGTCATAATCCTACAATATAGAGGTGACATCCAATAATGTTATGAAAAATGACTTTCACAATGAAAACTATACATTCCAAAGTTCCTTTCAGTCCTCCGTGCTAGTTTTACAATAGCATATTTTCCGTAGTTTTCTTTCATTCACTAATGGTTGTAATAGTAAAACAACTGTATGACGATTTTCATTTGAAGTTTTTAATTCGAACCTTTTGCTGTCACCTTAATATATTTGATATTTTTATGATTGTCTATTTCCGATTCCCCTATCTCAATTTACTTCATGTGTAATATAAACATAACTAAACTCCGATGTAATAAACAATACACAGCTTAGGTGCCAACATAACGAAATATTAAGTAAACAACCAAACAATGTCTGATCTACAAATATCAAATAAAGTTTTACAATACATTATGGTGTTTTTATTCACGAGGTTGTTATAATGATGTCACTTATTTTTTACAAATGCGTAAATATCTAATGATCTAGGAAAAGTAAAGTACCTATCATATGATAAAATAATTTTGAACTTTTCTGTCAATAGGCCTAACTCGAACAAATTTTTGTTGAACTCTTGATTTACGGTTTTTATGTATGTTTTTCGTTGCCTCATTCACAAATCATTATATTCCTGTTATTTATTGATTGAAAATTTTGATGTAACATCTTTACAATATTACCTATTTCTTTTAGTTATTAACAATATAATCCTACAATCATAATTATATCTGGCGTTACTGTATGCTATAATTATTGTACTTTTGAGAATATGAATCGATTTATTACAGAATAAACTAGTATTATAGCTCATGAACCGGCTAATGTAATAACTATATAATTCTCTCGTGCTTTCTATAGCTCCTGAATGATAATATCTAATTTAATATCTTTTGAAAGCTATATTCTCTTGTACTTTTAACAAAAAAATATTTTAAAATCCTAGTTCTGTGGATAACATTTGACGATGGCAATATTTTTATAATTTTACAAATTTAAGTCTTTATACCAACATTTGTTACACAACAAACACTAATAACTCCGGCTAAGCTGGAGAAATGTGCGGAGAAGCTATTCCGGTTTCTTGTACTAATTACCCTCAGACTCAATGGACCATTCAGCCCCGACAGTCTCTTGAGGCCTGTGTTTACTTAAGCGAAGACTTGTAATTTTAGAAATGGCTAATTTGTGTGACTAAACGCGCTGTAATGTAACGTAAATATCTCTTTTGGTCAGAGTTGTCTGCGCTACGTCTTGGAGACTCTGGTTTGGACGTTTGCCAATATTGTGTTTCTTTGTATGATCGGAGACTAGCGAAGCGTACTTTTGCTCCAAATTATGGAGAAACACCCTTCTAAAAGATGTACTATGAAATATATTAATCAACGATATGCTTACTAAGATTTTATCAACATGAAACATAGATAAAAAAGCGTTAGATAAAAAAAAATAAACTGTAAGACTGATGCGTTATCTATTTTCAAATCATCCAACATATTCCATGGTAATTTATCATGTAAGAATGTTTTTGTAAGATATTTCTGTTAGCTTTAAAGGTGTTTTATGTAACATAACCAAAATTATTTAAACTAAATAAGGCAATATATTTTAAGACCATTGATTCTCTTCTGGTATCCCCGTTAATAGAGACAGCTGAACAGAAATCTAATCTACATCGAACTCTCCATAAATGGTATAGTAAAATATAGTTTTTACCACGCTGGTATTGGTTTTTAATTAAATTAAACAACACCTTTTAATTTTATAGTTATTTCAAAGATATTTGCTTCAAATAATTTGAAGTACGAAAACCCGTATACCGCGAAACACTTTTCAAACATAGCTTATAAACTTATATTGCCTATGCGTAAAGTGTGCCTTTAAGTTTTCTAAAGTTTTAAATATGTATCATCAATAAAAATGCTTTAAAAACGTGATAACAAATTTTAGTTTCTCAAGCTGGCCCAAAACACATATTTAATTAATATATACTACCAAACGATCTCGTTACTCTTGTTACAGGAACAATGCCGACTTCATGACTTATCTTTTGCGGCAGATCTAAGTAAACTGCACTTTTGGCGGGAGAGGGAGGTAAAAAGCGCGGGATTCACGAATGCGTGTCGCACACACTAGGAAGGAAAGCAAAGATGTCGCCGTGATTGTGACTGGGAGAGAGCGCGTTATTTAGATAACATCACTGGGTTGATACCATTGATTATACACACTTAGCATAGTCAATGGTGATAGGCTATCATTGCATTAAGTAATGGAGAAAATGTATTGTGGTAAAATGGGTAATCAACTGTAAGAAAATGTCATATATTTCAGATAACATAGTTATTTGAGTTAACTACAATCGTGGCTCGGAGGTATAATTAAAAAAATTCAAGCTTACCCGAAATATACTGTTATTTAGAATTACACATTTTATGTTTTGAAAATAACAAATGCATAAGTAATGGATTTTTTTACAAGAGATTAAAATGTTGGATTTATACTGTGTTTCAATTAACATGTATCATAATTTTTACAGGTATGTTTTTGTTTCAGGGAAAGAAACATTTACGCTTTATTTTGGTGTCAAATTCTATGCAGCTGATCCTTGCAAACTGCTGGAAGAAATCACTAGGTGAGTAAAATCTTACCTAATTGTTATTGTATATCCTTGTATAGTATTCATTTGATATATTACGTACTGACAACCGTTATCATTTGACACAAGTAACGTTCAATGCTGTTAAAGAGAGCTTGTGTTAGGGTATTGTTTCAAAGTTGCTTTTGTAGCTTAGCCACCCTTTTGACTTGGGTAGTTTTCCGCAAAATATATTGTGCTACGTCACAAAAAATATATTAATTACGTTTTATCAGATTAAGAGCTGACGTATGGAAAACCAATCAGATTCCTTATTCTACACAAAGTTTTAGTTTTATATAAGTTAACTATTGAACGTAAGACTAACAGACTGAATAACATAATTTACAGCGCTCTCTTTCCTGTACCATTATCAAGTTTATTTCTGTAATCTGGTAAGTCATTTATCGTATAGATTTATTGTAACTTATCCCTTTAGACTTTCTTAGTTTCTTAATAACATTTCGCCACCCTCTGCGTGCAACGAACAATTATGTTTTATTATAATTTGAATTAAAAACCCAGTTTCCTCGCAGAATTGTAAGTAAAATGTGAAGGATTTACCCTTCAAAGACAAAAATGTGGTAAACAGCAGAAGCTGAAAAATAAATGCACAATATCCAGCATAAGTTTTAAACTTCCAGCTAAGACACACATTCCTAGCGTTTCTCAGATGCCTTAACGATCTTACAACATTGAGGAGCTTCTTGATTGTTGAAGCTTTGCATATTTTATACAACACTTGGCAAGATAATATTCTCTTTGGAAACAGCATACGTTTAAATAAAATTATAATATCTTATATAGGCCTACGATGGGACCAGTAAAATGGTTTTACAGTATATAGTTGTTTGGTTAGATATCTGGGAAAATGTGAAGGCAGAGAGAAAAACCACTACATATATTTTAGTAAATAACTTGAACTACTTATTTTCAGATTAATCTTCTTTCTGAAAATCGTAAAAGACTAAGGAAATGGTGTAAAAATAATAAAAATAGCATTTCATTTTTTAACTTAACTTTTTGTAACCAATTATATTAGTAAAGGTATTGAGATAAAAACAGTATTAGTGTGGTTATATTGTGAAATTACTCACATATAAAAGTAACTTATTGGTTAAGTGATTACAACAATTTCATTTTTTTACGTCAGCTCGTAATATGATATAAGCAAATAACAACTTTAATTGAATTTATGTTACTGTACAAACAAAATTCTAGTTCATATTTTTTTCAGTTTGCCAAATGACAACGGAGCATGTCTATTACGAAATGGCTCAAAATTAAGGTTTAGCTTATAAATTTGCATACAAGGGTGTATAAAAATTGCAAAAAACTTTTTAATTTATTTATTGATACTCTTAGAACCTTTGGGATAGATATATTCAACAACTTTTAAATAATTCAGCATAATTATTATATTGCAAAGTCTAATTCTCCATTGTTTATCCAAAGAACAAGTCCAAAGATTACCCTCAAGGGTCTTGCCATTTGCCTAAAGGGGAGCTAAACTTGTCTACTTGTAGCGATGTTTTCTGCTTCATAAACATTTTTTCCTGACACACAAGACACTTGCAATATTAAAAAAATCCAATGTTACTTGCAAAGCGGTTTTTGGAGCTCACAAAAACAACCTATCATAAATATTTTCTTGTTTGTAACAAAATATATTGATTTGTTATCATTTAAGTTATTTTATCTTTATGAAGAGACAGATACAATTACGTCCAACTTCATTTAATTGCTTGTGTATTAAAATGAATATCCAAATGAAATTGAAAAAGTTTTCTCTCTGATGGAGTTTGGCCGTTTAATAAAGTATCAACATAGATTAAACATACTCCCTAAGGGAGTATGTCCTTAGGGAGTATGTTTAATCTATGGTATCAATTAGAAAATGGTATTCATCATGACCACACAGAGTAGAAAACAATAAATCTGTATTCTGCGTTTGATGTATTAAATCCGGCTCTAAGTATGTATTCTAAGTAAACGGAAATGTATTTCTTCTCGCTTCTTGTTGGTTATACAGCGTCTATTGATCAATTAATCGTAAGAATTATGTCCTATGTAACACATAAACATGATTATAGTAACCAATCATGTATTACTAAAGTGATTTCATGTCAGATTTTTCTTGTATCGTTAAACTCGACTTAATTTGCTATCTGAAACCAATACTTAAACTCATTACAACCGATAAAGGCTGAGTATCTAGGTATGGCCACGAAAGGAACCCCTTACCCAGAATATTTGTTTCATACAATTATCCATTATATACAACATACGTAAAGATTACTTTTGGGTTTCTCCCATAAATAGAATCTTTTTAACTTAGACTTCCAGAAAATGTTATTTTACAGGCCTGTGCCGCGAGACAGCTATCAACTGTCCCTAGATAATAAAAACTTTTGTGCTAAGCCTAATTCAACTTTTAATTAAACTCTGTGGGCAGGTATACCATAAACTATTAACTTTTTCCTTTAAAAGTTCCGTCATTACAACTTGCAAATATCGTTAACTGCTAATAAATAAATATTTACAATTACTTATAAACCATCTGGAAAACTAACTATATTCACTTTCAAATATTCTTACAAAGTTATATGTTATAAATAAATGCCAATAGTTTTAGTCTCAAGGTCACTTAAACTACAACTACGACGAATAGAATAAAATACCTGAAGTAGAGGTGATTTTGTTTTTTTTTGGGACAACAATGGTTTTATGCTTTATTCAAGCTCGCGAAGATGCAAATATTTGACATAGGTGTTCCACAACCTGCAACCCGCAACCTGTATTGAAAATACTGTGCCTTTCTATCCTTTTGGAATCTCTAGTCAAAGATAAATTTCCTGCCCATAACGTCACAAATAATTCTCTTGATTCTAGCCATAAGTCATTCTCGGTGTATCCTGATATAATATTCTACTCTTTTTTTCCAAATTGAAATAACTACCCATACATCATTGGAGGTTCCATTTATACCATTCATCTAACTTTTGTCTGTGCACACTCAATGACAGTTAATGACGGTATATTTATTGCTGAAACAATTATAAATGCATAATAATCCTAAAGAGAAAACGTCATCGTACTTTCGCTCAAAATAAGATACATCACAGAGAAGTAAGGTACCTTTCTTTTATGTGAATCGATTTCCAAGTTAAAAGTGTTAAAAATTGGTACATTAGTTTCAGTGCAACTAAAAATCCTTTGCCATCTTCACCACAATGGCGTTAATATTAGCTTTCAATACGAATGACCGTACACGCGCATACGGCTGAACGCATTGGCCGATGCATAAGTGATATTTACATTTATATGAATGCATAATAAATTGTGTATGCATAATGAACACTAGACTTTGTTTATTGATTTTGACAGCTTGCGTTCGATTACCATACAGCGCCATTATGCGCACGCTGACGCCGCGTTATCATTTGCAACGGAAATCAGTTGAATGTTTTATGCAATAATTGTATAATGTAAGTAAACCATTTCACGCCTACTTTACACTTCAGATTTCTACGGAAAACGGTTTTTTGCTTAGATTATTTTTTGACATTGTAACAAAAAAAAATCGGTGATAAGAACTTGTTCTACATTGAAAACCATACAATATTTCAAATTCAATACATTTTATACATTTTATAGCTACGTCGTAACTTGTTGACAGTTCAAACGTTTGCTTATAAACTGTCCTGTTATAGTCAACAATCGAATGCAGATGGAGTGGGTATGAAATATTGCTCTGCCAAAAGCACAGAATCTGGTGTACGATTTGTACAATGACTAACAAAATGTGTTGTTGTAACAGATATAATGTTTTTTTTTTTAATTTCTTTCAATATACATTATAGTTTTACGCTCCCTGATTTCTTTTAATCAATGTTTTGTTGTATCAAATATTTTTCGGTACTGTACATTGAAATCAATGTTTGTATAAATCTTGGAGGGAGTGTGTGCATTTTTACGGGATACACTTTTTATCGACACCTTAAGATTTAAATGCTTGTTTTAGTTTGATTTTTAATGTTATTATGAAAGCCCCTATACATCTACAGGTTAAAATATATTTTCCACCATATTAGTTACGAATAATAGAGATTCGGTGTAAGTTCATGTTTTATTTTAACAGGGATTTCCTTACGTATGATATTTACATAAAACTGTAAAGACTAAGAGCGTTTTGACAATTTATCATTCAAAACCTTTAATTAACTACTGCATTGTAATATTTTGGTGAATATTAATCATTGATGTCAAAATCATTCGTTGTAAAATCAATTGTCATCCAGCAAAAAATCAATCATTCTATTGTTTACCAGTTGTAACTGGTTTTGCCTTAAACGTTATATTTTTAGTTGGAATAATACCATTGTCCTGTGAATAATAGGGTGGATATCCAATCTATATGGACGAGCTGCAGTAGATTTTTTACCAAACAGAACAAAATTGAATGAGCTGCTCTCATAGTATAAATTCTGTCAAATATATTACCTCTAACAAAGAATGTTGAGAGTTTATGTTCCTTAAAGATGTTAAGTTCATGTCAAGCTGTTAGTCCAGCTGATTAAAATTTAGTTTATTCAACAGAAATTATAATCAGCCGCAGCACACTCTTCCGTTAGCCCAGTTCAAATACCTATCTATATATTAATTTGAAACTGTTTTTCTTTGTGACAGCTAATTTGAGAGAACGGCTGGGCGTAGAAACTTGGTAGAGGTGTCTAAAGAAAGGGCTTGGTCTGTAGATGAGCCATCAAAAGAGAAATGTGGTAAATTCCCTTGGGGCTCTGCCCCAGTGGCCTTTAAATTCCCATCCCATGTTATTCTTATGGGGGAAAAACGGGTTTTTGTCACAGCTAATTTCAGAGAACGGCTGGGCGTAGAAACTTGGTAGGGGTCTCTAAAGAAAGGTCTTGGTCTTTAGATGAGCCATCAAAAGAGAAACGAGTAAATTCCCTTGGGGCTCTGCCCCAGAGGCCTTTAAA